CAACTGAGTCAATCAAATAAACTGTTTCATTAGGATCAGTCACACACACACAAATCACTGGTTCATAATGGATATTACTCTACCCATCAATAGCCATATAGACTGTAATATCCTTTAACTCATCAGCTGATTCATTCTCAATGGAATTGTATACAATATCCAGCAAGGGTCCCACCAATTTCCTTTCTGTGTGGAGGGTCATATTGAGGTTGCAACATCTGACAAAATTTTATAAATTTGGGGTGTTCTACATGAGTAAAGGCTGAATTGGTGGCATATATAAATATGAATTTACTTGTCTTTTTAAAGTTAAGGACATAAAAATCTGTAAAAAATAAAATTGGATTTTGTTATATAGTAGTTAAATAGTTGTTTATTGAATAAGAATATTTCAATATTTAACTTACTGTAATACACAGCAATTAATACATCCATTAAGATAATGCAATGGTTATTTATAATTACCAAATTTAAGATTTACATATAAAATCTATAATAATTGTCATAAAATTATATGAAAAGAAAGATTAAGATAACTTTAAAAATAAAATATTTATAATCATTTATTATATCATCAAAGATATCATATCAATAATCATAATTTTGTTGTTTGGTTTGCCTACAGCATTATTGTGTTGAATGTAGATGATAGAATAATGTTAATGTTAAAATACTATTCAATAGTACATTGATGATAAATTTAGAATTTTAATGAACTAATTTCAGGAAGTTTTAATATAATTTTTTAATTGGAAAGTAATTGTTGTAAACAATAGTTTATTATTTATTTAAGAAACTATGAGTATAATCAGTTTAAAAAATGTTTTTAGAATGATACAAATATTTTAATTAAATTAATAATAAAATTTTTTATTATAAATAAAATGTTTAATTTTATTTGATACAAATTTTGTTGGCAAATAAGTATCTTAATTCATATTATAAAATATATTTATAAAGCGTTTCATTGTGTTCTGTTTAAAATTGTAAATGCTGTTTTTATTAATTTAATTCTGGCAAAAGAATGACTGTACATTAAATGTTAACTCCTCTGATAATCATCTATTTACAACTGATATTAACTTTCACAGATTAGATTACTAAAACTAATTATATTGGTAGGATAGTTTTAATGCTTAATAAACTTAAAAAATATCCAGTTCATTATTTATTAAGTTTCTTAATTAAATGAATTTTTCAGTTTTATTAATTAAATGTTAAAAGTATTTTAATCTTATTAGATGTGTTTTCTAAGCTTTTTATTTTAACTGAATGGTTTGAGTGCAAAAGTAATAAGCCACACAAAGAGAAATTTAAGAAATATCACATTTAAATCTTTAAACAAATCCTGAAATCAGTATCTTTGATAATAATAAAATGCCAGTTTATAGCAAAACTGGCATTTTATCGATATTTTTTAAAATTGATAATTGTTTTTTTTTCTTTGTGTGGCTTATCACTATCTGCATACAAGCCATTGAATGAAAATTAAAACATTTTTATTTAAATATATCACAAATTTCATGCCTTTAAGAACATTTTAGTCATGTTTTAGAAGGTTAATATTTTTAATACGGAACTCAATTATAGAATTAAAATATGTACAAAGATAAAATCAAATTATTTATACTGAAGAGGGTAAAGATATTTTTAACAAAAATATTAGAAAATTAAATGTGGAGAATTACTAAATTTTAGATGTTTAAAATTTTGAAGTTTTAAACTTGACATATTAAGTATTAACAGTATTTTATTATGTTTTAAAATGACTAGTTTAAGAATAAAGCTTGCTATTTTTTTTAATGAGTAGTTTAAATAAGTACAGCGAATCTTCACATAACATTGTTTAGGAAAGTTACAAGTACTGTACATTTGTAATCATTTACGATTGAGAAGTTGGTTTCCAAAATCTGCCAAGTGAGATAAATTCTCTCTCTTTTCTCAGAGCTGGACCTTGTAACGTATTGTAAAGCTCATGAGATTTTGGAAACCAATTTCTGAATTGGTTTCCAAAATCTCTAAAATCTGTGTTTTCTTTACAGGAAAGGCCAAAATCAGTTTTACAGTAAGAAATTGCAACCATCAAAGCATATACTTGCTCTTTGTAAAATTAAATGCATATTTATAAAGTTTAAAGAGTTTTTTTTAATTGTTTCTTGCATGCAGTAACTTGGAAAAGGAAAATTTAGTTTAAACATTGTAGGTTTGGGAAATAAAAGTAGAACTTTGTAAGTTCTGGCATGAAACTCTGCTTCTAGCCAAAGTAATGAATATGATTCAGTTATCACCTGCTTATTTTTTATTGAAGTAATGATAAAGATTTGACAATTAATATGTGAAGAGTAAAACTAGCATTTATTAATTTAATGTCTATAACAAAATTATGAAAAAACTTACATGTACTAGCATTTCTATCAGAAATAAACTCTTTCTGATCAAATTTATATACTGTACTATCACGAATCATTCATGTGGTATATGATCATGTCTTTCAATTGATTACAAAGGAGTTAGTAGATTTTGGTGTGAAAAACACATTGGCAATGGTAGGTTTTGGAATAAAATATATTATTTAATTCTTTTAAACAAGCAGATAAAATTTTTTGACAAACAAATAACTGTCAGAAATGAATCTGGCATACCTCAAATAGTAGGAATTGACTCTTAACAGAAAGTTGATTTTTTTTTTTTTGATTTGGCAGGTTATGGAAACATATTGCACAATTATTGTTGTTAAATTCAAATTTATGTTTATAAAGAAAATTTGAAATGGGAAATAAATGCTGGAAGTTGCAAACATGATCCAATTAGAATAATAATAACTGAATTGTATCTTGTTTATATTATTTAGTGTATGGTAATGTTGGTTTTGTTACACATTATTTTGTTAATGTCAGTTTCCAAGAACNTAATACTTTTTTATTGTATCTAGCAATTCTCACTTTATGCTGTCCATGTACAGTACATAAGCCATTTTTATTTCATTTTTATCTGGAGATCTGGGAATGAATCCGAAAGGTTTGGAAAAAACCTGGAAATTTTTTGGGAGATGGCCTGATATATATATTCAAACAGCTAATTTGATTGCTTTTCATCTACAAGGTCATTTATTAATTGCATGTAGTTATTCACTGATGTCATATTGTGCAAATTGTGTCATTGAATATAATAAGAAAAAAACAAATTTAAATTTTATTGTAGTTTGGATAAAAATAATGCTGAAGTATACAAATCTGTAAAAGTAGTGTGATAAATTATATAGTAAAATTCATTGAATTAAAATTCAAAAAATTGAGTTATACAAAAAAATCTTGTAAGTAAAGAAGTATTAAAAGTAGAATAACTTTTAATAATTTTTACTTATTTAGTGGATTAAATTTTTTTTATATAATCAGTAGAGTATAGTTTACTTATGATTAACATTAATTTATTAATTAATTGTTCTGTGATATAAAATATAAAGTTTTGTTAAAGTTTTGTTGAAATAATTTTTTTTTCTTATTACTAATAATACCTTCTCTCTTACAATTAGTTGGAGTGATATACATGGTGGTGCATATGTATATCTTGGTGGAAAAATTAAGTTAGTTAAAAGGTACAAATAAAATTCAAATCAAATGCAGTTAAGTAGTAAATGGAATATGAAATACATCTGTATAATTTTATGAATATCTACAGAATTTGATTGCATCTGAAGGCAAACATTTGCCTTCAGATGCAATCAAATTCTGTAGATATTCATAAAATTAGAGAATAATATGGTATTTGATAATTGCTGAAATTCCTTTTGTTATGTTTCTGATGCACTCCTGAAGAATTTGCAGGTTTTCCATTGGAGACATACAAATTTTTAGTTGCCCCATACTGCAAAGTCTAGATTTTAAATTGGGACTATATTGTGACCACTTGATCCCATTCTGTCTCCATCCTTTTCTGGTGCATCCAGAGCTATCAATCTTGGACCAAAAAATTTGTTTATTGTTTTGCACACATGTATGGTCTGTCAACTATCCTCTTATCAAACAAGTTGTTTCTAACAGTTATTCAAGAATTACATTATTTTCCTGTCAGGACACACACATGCCCACCCTATGTCTTTACTACCTTGTATGTAGACTTTCTGGAAAGTAGCTTCCATTATATTAATAAACATCAGTTCAGTGAAAGGGATTTTATTATATACAACTTAAAATTATACCTCTGCATTATTTTTCAACATAATTTCCAGCCAAATTTAAACATTTTCATAGTGTGTTAAAAGTTTTTGTATTTCATTGTTGTATAACACCCCTGCCTGTGATTTCAGCCACGTCAATGATCATTTCATGAATAACTGTAAAATTTGCGGAATCTCACTAGAAAATTCTGAAATTGTGACTTGGTGATTCTCTCTGACATTTCCATCAATCTTTTGTATGAGTTCATCAGTCACCACAGATGACCAGCCACTTCTCTGCTTATCATGAACATATTTTTGGCCATTTTTGAACATACAGCACCATTGCCTCACTTTACCTTCACTCATTATATTCTCTCTATAAACTTTGACAGTTAATAATGGATATCAACATCTTTATAGTGTTTGGTTACGAGAAATCTTATCACTGAGCAGCTATACCTTACCATTAATAGGAGTTTGAATGGCAATTATGGGAAGATGATGGAGAGAGTACAACCTGTACTCTGCCACATCTGACTCACTTTACATTGTTGCCAAATATGACACCATTATCTCTACTACTGCAAGTATCACATGAAAACAAAAGTTATTTTCTGGATAGTCCTCATATGTAAATAGAAAGTAACTGTAAACTTATTTTCACTTATTTAAGTTTACAGTTACTTTCTATTTACATATGAGGACTACCCAGAAGTGAATAGAAAGATACTATGTTTCTATTTACATATAAACTTGTAAAAATTATGAAATTTATTGATATTAAATAATTATTAACTGTATTAAATAGTAAGTTTACTTAAAACATTACATTATTTTTCAGGTTAAATTAGAGCGTGTGCTAGGCTTAACTGTATCATGCAATGCAGCTCTTGACTGTGATCCAATAACCAGTATTGTTGCTTATCCTGCAGGGTAAACTTAAAATTATTATTGTTATTATTATTATACTTTAATATTTTTATCTCAATAAGTGTAAGATTAATTAACTAATTGTTAATTTATAAATTATTGTTTATTAATATTATTTGATATTAAATAAAAGAAAAATTAAAAATGACATAGTAATAACTCGATGAAAGTAAAGATTTTAAAATTGATTAGATAATGGAATTAAATTTACTTTGTCGTTGAAACTGTAATATATTTGAACCCTTTTCATTTTAGGTTAATTTGAATATAAAATATTATTATTAGAATATATATTTTCAAAATTTAACACGAGATCATATCATTGAGTATCCGGCTCTTACTCTTAACAGAGACTTGAATTTTAGCTGAAACCACGTCATGCGATCCATCTGAACTTGCTAACAAGCAAACTTTTTGCTTTTTCTTGCAATTTGTAATAATAATCTTTAAATATGCAAACAATTTTCTAGCTATGATTAGAAGGCTACCTTTGTGATGTTACCAAATAACAAATTGTCATAGCATTGTACTGAGTGGTGTACTTAAACTGATTTGATATATTGATTCTTTATTTGTAAAATAGATAAATATACAGTAGAACCTCGATTATCCGGACTAATTGGGGATGAAGGTAGTCCGGATAANATAACTCGATGAAAGTAAAGATTTTAAAATTGATTAGATAATGGAATTAAATTTACTTTGTCGTTGAAACTGTAATATATTTGAACCCTTTTCATTTTAGGTTAATTTGAATATAAAATATTATTATTAGAATATATATTTTCAAAATTTAACACGAGATCATATCATTGAGTATCCGGCTCTTACTCTTAACAGAGACTTGAATTTTAGCTGAAACCACGTCATGCGATCCATCTGAACTTGCTAACAAGCAAACTTTTTGCTTTTTCTTGCAATTTGTAATAATAATCTTTAAATATGCAAACAATTTTCTAGCTATGATTAGAAGGCTACCTTTGTGATGTTACCAAATAACAAATTGTCATAGCATTGTACTGAGTGGTGTACTTAAACTGATTTGATATATTGATTCTTTATTTGTAAAATAGATAAATATATTAAAATTTAAATAAGATTATATTTGAAAATCATTTTTCAAATCATCTTGTTCAGAATGACTACCATGCTAATTGTTTTTCTAAATTTTTGTTTTTGGACTGAAATTTGAAAAAATTGTAGACCTATAAATTTCCATTGTCATCATCAACCAGCCTGAAGTGGGACTTGAACCCAAAACTGCTGCTTACTGTGTGGATGTGTTGCCAGTTATGCTACCTGGACCTCCATCCAATCTTTGCTTCCAGAGCTGTTAATTTAGATATAACTGTGTGCCCATGGCCTAAGTTGGCACTGTAAGTAACCTGTACCAGCCAACCTAGGTCATGGGCACTAAGTTGTTCCTAGTCAGTGCTGTGAATAACCTGTACAGTTATATCTAAATTAATAGTTTTGGAAGCAAAGATCAGATGAAATTTGGATAGCATAACTGACAATGCATCTGCTTTGCAAGCAGTAGTTGTGGCTCAAGTCCTATTTTGGGCCAATTATTTTCTTCCAGAATCTTCTAAATTTATTAATAAATATTAATTTAATTACAATTATTAAATTTAATAAGATATGGCACCTAATGCCTACCTCTAGGCAAATCACTTAGACTTTAATTATTAATAGTAGCAGTAATATAGCTTAATCTAATCTGGTAATCATTTGACTTTAAATAGTGACTAGATATTACAGTTCTAATTGTTTTTAATAACTAAATTATTTAATTTTATACTTATTTTCATTCATATTAATATAGTTTTATTTTTTAGGTGCGTAATTGTTCTCTACAATGTTCGGAAAAATAGGCAATGCCATATTCTTAGTGCTTCCAAGAAAACCATTACATGTTTGGCATTCTCCTGGGATGGAAAATACTTAGTTACTGGAGAAGTAAGTGCTAATAAAATTATTAAAAATTTATTTTTATGAACATTAAATGTATTAGCAGATTTCAATTAAGAAAATGGCATTAAGATGTTTAATAATTGAAAATTTTTGGCATATAAAATATTCTGTTACATTTAAATGAATAATTACAAAGAGAACAAAAATAATTACTATTTATTAAAATGATTAATATCTTTCCTATAATTGTATATGGAAAAAATTAAATATGTGGATTACACTTGAAATAGAAGAATAAATACTTACATGATAACTTTCTTTCCAATACATCACTAGTTTTATAACCTACCATTTGCATCGTCATTTACTTGCATAATTTGAAACAGTATTTATAGCTTTAAAAATAGTGATTTAACATAATTTTCAAACAGAATAAAATATTCATTTAAAAGTTTTATATTTTTATGAAAAATTAACTTGTGTAATAAAATTAAATATTTATAGAATCAAAGAAACAATAGATTGCTTCTTTTTAAAATTTAAATGAATCAGATAAAACCTTTATACACATTTAACACAAGTTTCTCTCTGGTCATTTATTTCAAAAACTAATATGTACTACAGAACTTTTGCTAATGTATATACTATGTTAGTCATGTGCTAAACAATAGTTCAAATTTCTGCACCCTCCAGTCTTCTGTTGGAGAAGGATATTGTAATATTAGCCTCTAATGAAAATATGGCAACATTGTCAATAATTACCTTTTAGTACATTTTGAAATGTCAAGTGATACAGTGGAACTCTGTTAAGAAGTTGTTATATTAGAAGGTTTTCTGAATAAGAAGTTTAATTCTAAAAGTCTTAATTTTTTGTACTAAGAGAGATGTAAATTTTTCCCATATAAAAATGTTCCCATTTAAGAAAGTTTCCTGCTTAAGTAGACTGAAATCCTTGTCTGTGACTGGAAAATGGACTCACTTAAGAAGTTTTTCAACTACATCCTATTGAAAATTTTGTTCTATTGCATCTCAAAAATGAATAAAATACATCAGATATACACAAAATTTTGTCTGATTTCACATGCAAATTTGGATTAATTTGAACACGGATTTTACAATTTTCTTGCACAGTTATCTAGTAGTGTGCTTGCAACAAACAGCAATTTCTGAAAAATGCTGTATCTTTAAGTTTAATATTATAAATCTTCAGTGAATTTTAGTATGGTATTTGTAGATCTGTGGTTTTGTTCGTGGAAATCATAAAATGTATTTTTATTTTTATTATAACAAAATGAATGAAGCAGGTTACATTAGACAAATATCTAAATAAATATTGTGTAAGCCTAGTCTACTGTAATGAAGTGGAACTTTGTTAAATAAATATGGCTTATTGAACAAAAAGCTATTTTATTTTCATTTTTGCTTACAACGTTTAAAAACTTTGAAAGCAAAATTTTATACTTATTATTAAATTATTGTTCAAAATTGATAAGATCTTTAAATATATATTAATATAAAATTTACTTAATTTTTGTTTTAGATTTATTTTTATATATATAATAAAAATGTATTTAATTTTGAAGTTTAACACTTTTCTTTTAGTGTGGTCATCAGCCACATGTTCGTGTATGGGATGTGCAAGATTGTAACCAAGTTGCAGAATTTTCTGGTCATAAATATGGAATTAATTGTGTTGTAAGTGTAATTCTTCATATTTTAAACTAGAATATAAAGTGGCAATATTTTAAGACTTATTTAATACCAACAAATTTAATTTTTCTTTTATAAATTTGTCATAATTGCACTTTGTTCTGTTTTTGATATAATCTTAAATTATTTTATAATTGAATGCAAAAGGTTTTTTNAAAAAAAATCATTAAAAATAAATTCAAAAATAGTATAACTGTTTTAGTAGCAACAAAAGTTAATTATTGAAATAATAACTACTATCAGATACAGTAATTTCCCTTGGATACATTAGATTTATTAGCATATACCAGATAAACAAATGAAAGCAGAACTTCCAAGCAGTAGCTTCACAGGATAATATGCATTATGTTTAATAAATATAATTTTAACTTTGCATCAATTATATTTTAAGACTTATTTAATACCAACAAATTTAATTTTTCTTTTATAAATTTGTCATAATTGCACTTTGTTCTGTTTTTGATATAATCTTAAATTATTTTATAATTGAATGCAAAAGGTTTTTTGTAACAGTTTTAAGTAATAATAAATGTTTAAAAAATTAATTTTTTTATAAATTTAATTTCAGGTTTTTAATTTTATAATCATTATAAAATAATTTGTTTGGCAATTTTCTTTATACTCCTTAACTTAATTATTAAAAGAAAATAACATACCTTTTTCTACATGCCAGTAATCCTTAGTTTGTTTAATATTTTTGAGTATATTTAGTTTTCTTTCTCAGAATTCTCAAAATGACTATGAAAATGTTAGTCTTCAAATCATTGAAAGCTAATTACATTTTAGTTTATATTTTTTAAAAGTTTGTAAAACTAAAATTTTTTAGTGTAATGCCTATATCATGTAGACAAAAAAAATAATAGTGAGTGAGAAATTCAGTGTCATCATTCCAAAGCAAAAAATGCACAAGTGAAAAATGGGAATCTTCCATACATAATAGAAAATACTGGTCTCTTAGATATCTAATACTTTTATATTTGTATTATAATACTTTTATTTTATTTATAAAAACATATTTTTAGATATACAGTGAAACCTCCGTTAATGGACACTCTCGAATAGTGGGCACCTCCACTTAACAGCATAACCACTTAACAGAAGGTTGGTTATGGACGATCGTCATCCATAACCAGCCTTACGAAAACGCAATGTCCTGCCTACAATATTCTGAAAAAATTAATTATGTATGAAATATTTTAAAATGAAAACAAAGAATCGGTTCAAATACTCTTTCAGATGATAAATTTTGACCATAGTCAAATAAAGACTGGTTTAAAATAGGAATAGGGAAGGAGGGCAGTTATAAAAAGTCAAACAATATTCTCTATCCGTTAAAGAAGTTTAATCTGGTTAAGTTGTCAATCACCATTTATTATCATACATATTAATGTTGTTAAACTTCTGTCTTATTGTTGGAATTAAGCTTATGATACCAAAAAAACTATAAACTTTTCTGAAGTTATTTATTCATTTGACAAAAACTGTAGTATAGCAGTAATGAGAAAAAAACTCAATATCATAAATGATGTCATAAATGTGAGAAAACCGAATATCTTCCCATACTTTAAAGTGGTCGGCAAATTGCCTGTGTAACACTTCCTTTGAACTTTCACCAAACAAATGCTGTTGTCATAACTGTTTTAACAGCTTTGTGGTGGCTAAAGTGAAATTTTTAATAAATCAGTTACCGAAAAAAGCAGAAATGTTCAACAAGTTACACCTACTTGATAACTACAAAGCAGACAAATCCCTGTCTTGATTTTTATTAGTTGCTTAGATCATAAATGACATTATAAATGTAACAATTCCGAATATACTTCCCACCCTTTGAAGTGGATAGCAAATTACCTTTGTAACTGACATTCAAAGATTTAATTAAAATGAGATTTTTACAGCTGAAAAAATAAATAATATATTGTAGCATATATAATTAAAATATATAACATGCTTTTTGGTATATTCACATCCCTAATGCAAATTTGTTGTTTCCATAATCCATCGTATTCTTCACTATATTATGATATAATATAGCTGCCAATATGTATCTCCGAATAGCAGACACCTCTAAATAGTGGACAAACTTCTCAATCCTGACAGTATCCACTATTCAGAGATTATACTGTAATACTTTTTTATTGTATCTAGCAATTCTCACTTTATGCTGTCCATGTACAGTACATAAGCCATTTTTATTTCATTTTTATCTGGAGATCTGGGAATGAATCCGAAAGGTTTGGAAAAAACCTGGAAATTTTTTGGGAGATGGCCTGATATATATATTCAAACAGCTAATTTGATTGCTTTTCATCTACAAGGTCATTTATTAATTGCATGTAGTTATTCACTGATGTCATATTGTGCAAATTGTGTCATTGAATATAATAAGAAAAAAACAAATTTAAATTTTATTGTAGTTTGGATAAAAATAATGCTGAAGTATACAAATCTGTAAAAGTAGTGTGATAAATTATATAGTAAAATTCATTGAATTAAAATTCAAAAAATTGAGTTATACAAAAAAATCTTGTAAGTAAAGAAGTATTAAAAGTAGAATAACTTTTAATAATTTTTACTTATTTAGTGGATTAAATTTTTTTTATATAATCAGTAGAGTATAGTTTACTTATGATTAATAAGAAGAGAATTAGAAGAAAGGCTTTAGTTAATTAAGGATTTCTACAGCTCTGTTGTGTATAAATACTTATTAAATCTTTCTGATTAATTATACGAAGGCTATTTTTTAAATAAGGTCTGTTTTTTAATAAGAAGAAAAATACTGTAAATATCATTAAAATATATTTTTTCCATATTCTACGTACTTTTATCTACTTTTCTACATAATTTCCTTTTTTGTTCAAGCATTTGTCATACCACTCAACAATGTTTTGAATTCCGACTTCAAAGAAATCTGCCGCCTGTGAAAAAGCCAAATCCATGACTGCGGTTTTCACTTTGTCGTTGTTGAACTGTTGGCCACCAAAAAACTCCTTCAAGTATTGAAACAAATGAAAATCACTGGGTGCAAGGTCTGGACTGTAAGGTGGATGATACAGTTGTTCCCATCCAAAAGAACTGATTAGACCTTGTGTTTGTGCAGAAACATGTGTCCTTGCATTGTCATGAAGCAACATCACACAGGAAGACAGTAGACCACGCTGCTTGTTTTTGTATGGCATGCCAGAATTTTCTCAAGGTCACACAATATCCATCAAAATTGATTGTTGTGCATCTCGCCATAAAATCCACTAACAATATCCCTTTCCTGTCCCAAAAGACAATTGTCATAATTTTCCATGCTGAAATGGACTGTTTGGCTTTCACTTTGAATACAATTTTCGATAATTCAATTTCTCCAAAACAATGGTATACAAAACTGATCTTGAAACCTGTGGAAATTCAATTGGTAACATTGAAATCGTGAATTGTTGGCCCTCTCGAATTTTGTTATCCACATCACAAACCAAATCTTCAGAAATCAGAGAAGGTCGGAAAGGCAGATTAATGTGGCTCACTATGCACATTAACCTGCCTGTCCTTGAACATTCTCACCCACTTTCAAACTTTACTGTCACTCATAGCATTATCACTGTAAACTTCACAAATCTGACAGTGAATTTCCACTGCTGCCAAGTTTCTTGCACTCAAGAATCGAATAACAGATTGTATCTCACAGTTGGTGGGCGACTCAATTTTCTTAAACATTATAAACTTTTACAGCTCAGCACACAGATAGACGATATGGCTGCAAATGGTGTCTAAATGCGTGCAAAGCATGCTTGGAGCAGATGCACAGGTGCACTGCTGTGATCACGCGTCATTCTCACTCTCATTCACAAACAGACTTATTTAAAAAATAGCCCTCGTATAATAATCCTTGTCCTATTTCTCAAGTCCTAAGGGTTATCACTACATTTGGCTTATTTTTATGTAATTAAAATACAATTTTTATGAATATTATATACTTGCAAATTTTATTTTTATATTCTTAATAACTGAAGTTTAATATGTATTTATTCATTGTTTTATGAATAGGCATTTTCACCTAATTTGAAATACGTAGTGTCTGTAGGAACCCAACATGACATGATTGTTAATGTATGGGAATGGAAATCAAATGTCAAGATAGCTTCAAATAAAGTTTCTTGTAAAGTAAGTATAAAAGTCAATTAGTCTTCTTTAAAATTTGCTTGAATATGCTAATTTTTACTCTTACAAAACAGGTTTTAACTATATTTTATTGCATTCTATAGCTTTTAATCATGGAGTAGTGTTTTATTATAATAGAATTTCATTTTAAATGTGTAATCTTTACTTTTAAAAAATTTAATAGTAATACAGTAGAGCAAAGCTTCTTAAACTATGGGTCGCGACCCCATTTGGGGTCACTTAGTGAAATCTTGGGGTCACGAGATTTTAATGCAAAATTTTGAAAATAATTTGTGAGTTTGAAAATGAGTTTGAAAGTGAGGCATGCTTTGTGTCATAAGTTTCGTGAGTTGCGCTTTGTGTCACTTCTGGTGCAGCAAGACAATGATTCATCAACACTGATTGTAGTGTGAACTAGTGTAGTGTTGTCACTTTTCAGCGTATTCAGTTGTCTCTCTTCCATTGTAACACAAGTGAACTGTAGTAGCACACCATTATTGTTTTTGCAAATTTATATATATCTTTATTTTATAATTTTGGGTTGCGAAAAAAATCACAATCATAAATGGGGTCGTGAATGGAATAAAAAAAGTTTAAGAAGCCCTGCAATAGAGCATCGATTATCTGAAACAATTTGGGACTGGGGTTGTTCGGCTAGCTGATCATTTACAAAAAATATATTAAACACAAAACTGTATTGTGTATAATTTGTATCACACGTCTTACAAATACATACCTTACATAATGTGATACATTAAACTAGGCCTACAGTTCAGTTTGGCAGGGAGAGGAAGAGTGCTGCAACACCACAGCCCTAGTGAAAATTTGAATTTGCTGACTAGAATGCTTTTGGTTGATTGGTATTTGGATAATCAATGCTCTATTATACTTATTTTTCTAACTATCAAATATTACCTGAAATTTCATAAAACTTGAAAAATGCTATACTATTTAGCTAATATATTTATATTTAGCTAAATAAAACAACTTTAAACTATATATTTTAAATATAGAAATTAATTTTTTCATATGAAATATCAAAAGAAATACTATATTTTAATCAACTTTACCTAATTAAATAAATTTTGTGTGTTTGTCTGTAAGTAATTCAAATGAACTTATATATTTTCAGGTTAAAGCCATATCATTTGCATCAAGTGGAAATTACTTTGTTACAGTAGGAAACAGACATGTCAAATTTTGGTATTTAGAATATTCACGCTCAACAAAGGTATAAACATTACTATACTTTTAAATTATGTCTGAGTTAAAAGTTTGATGTTGTGTAGGGTAATCAAAAAGTGACTTTACAAGTCTACACTTTAAAAACCAAAACACTATCAAGTGTAATTCAATGTAAGTAGTTGTAATGGTCCAGATTGGCAAAATGAATGATTGTGGGGTCACAAGATTTGCATTCCAGTTAAGAATAGTTTTGGTTTAATTGTTTGGTTTTCCATAGCCCTTTCCCAGGTGTTTGACACATTACTAGTGAGATGTGTGTTGCATGGATAAAGGATGATTTATCTACACCATATTAAAATAAATGATTTTAATATAAACAAGCATTTCTGGTTACAGAAAACATTAGCTAACAGGAAAAGTTTATACATTTGAGTAATTAGTATGTTTCTCATGAGACAAGGCATCTTGGTCTACTTAATTAAGTTAAACTGAATTCCAAAGATCTTCACAAGTAGCTGAAAGCACAGGCTCACCCATATATGATAAGATTCGATAGAAGAGATGCACACAAAAAACAAGGAACAGAGGAACAACAAAAAAACAACTTTTGTTGTAAAAGAACTTTGTGAAAAGGAACTGCATGAAAGGGAACCTTATGTTATTGAGATATGGGATTTTATCTATTTAGCCTTTTGATTGCCTATTGGTCTTAGTTCCTTTTTCATACATTCCAATTAGTTTTGTACCTGATTCCAGAGATAATTCAAGACAAAGCATGCATTTCCTCGTGAAGCAGCTAAGCAAGTAAGCCAATGACCTAGATTGTTTCATATGAAACGAACTATGTCATTGGTTTGCTTGCTTAGCTGCTTCACGAGGAAACATGTCCAAAGTCAGCCACTGGAGAGATCAACATTGACATTTAATTTAATGCCCAATTCCAATCCCAACTAGAAATGGTTGATCTTAGGATTTAAATTGTTTATGAAAGTTCTCCTTATGTAAACTTTAAACAAAAATATTTTGTTTTTTAAACATTTTTTTTTCTAGGAATTTTTGATCAAATTTTGGAGTGTTTGGACCTAGTTGAGGGCACCCACATATTGCATCATATTAACACACTTGAAAGAGAACTTCAGGAGAAAGCATCCTGGACTCCTCAGCTGCAGTGTTGTTCTCTTCCATGACAACACTAGACTGCATACATATCACTAGATTTGCTGCAGATGTTTCAATGTGAGGTACATCATTATCTCCTTATATAATTGAACACTCTTGCTTTTTGTGTATTCTGACATTTGAAGGAGAACAGAATTTGTTTTATTGTTGAAGAAAAAACCATAATTGCTGGATGGATGCAACAATAAGTACAGGAATTTTATGAGGACAGAGGCCATTTAAACATTGTGATAAATGTTTGAAGAGGCTGGACAATTTTGTTCAGAAATAGCATAGTGCAGATAAATCCTGCATTTTCATTTCTGCAATAAAAGTATGTGCTATTGAATTTGTAAAGTTACTTTTTGATTACTCCTTGTATACATACAAATTTAAATAAAATTTTTTATTCCTTCCTTAGCAAAGAAAATGTTTGATTTTACAATTTGAAAGAAACAGATATGATTAAGATATATACAAATGTGTTAAATCTAGCATATATAATCTTGGTTTTTCATTTATATACTTGATTGTCTTTATCATTGTTTAGAGTTTTTGCATTTTATAGGCTGATTTTGAAGTGGAGAATGATAAATTTAATTTAAATAACAACAAAAAGTAAAAAAAAACTGTTTATTGATGATAAAGATCACAGCCACTTGTTCAAAATAGACTCAAATATTTTCAACTGAAAAATATCTTTGGGAAACTGTTATAGAACAAATAAAGATTTTTAGAAAAGAGCACCTTTGACTTAGTCTTACTTACTAAGCAAAATCAAAACAACCAAATAAATTTTTAAAATTAATAAAGGCAAATTTTATAAAATATGATTTTAAAAAATTAAACAACTTGCAAAAGTATACATGATATACGAGGGTCATCCAGAAAGTAACGACCGTTTGATTTTAGTAAATGAAAGAAATATATTTTATTAACAAAAACGTGTCACATACAAAATTGAAACTTACTTTATTTCTGTATATAATCACCGTCATTATTTAAGCATTTGTCATATCTGTCCACAAGCTTTAGAATTTCCATGTTTTAGTAGGCTGCTGCCAGTCCATTAAGCCAGTTGTTTACTGCATTCTTCACCTCATCATTTCCAAAATGCCCAGGAACTCTTTGAGCTTCATGAAAAGGCTAAATCGCGAGGAACAAGGTCCAGACTATAGGGTGGGTGATCAAAAATTTCCCATCCAAATCGATCCAGCAAGCCTATGGTTGCAGCAGCAGTGTGAGGGTGGGCATTGTCATGAAGAAGCACAATACCATGAGAAAGCATTCCATGCCTACAATTTTGGATTGCTTGCTGTAGTTTTCTTAGGGTGTCACAATATCGATCTGCATTGATTGTAGTGCCTTTTGGCAAGAAATCCACCAAGAGAATAGCCTTATGATCCCAAAAATCTGTTGCCATGAGTTTTCGTGCTGACAGAGTTTGTTTGAATTTTTGCGGTTTTTGGGTGATGAGGGATGATGCCCCTTGAGTGATTGGCACTTGGTCTCTGGGGTGAAGTGAGACACCCATGTCTCATTGCTAGTAACAATTTGACCAAGAAATGCATTTCCATCTGCGTGATACCGCATCAAAAATGTCAGTGCTGCATCCATTCTCTGTGTTCTGTGCTGGTCACTCAGTTGCCAAAAACCCATTGTGCACAAATTTTGCTATAGCCAAGATGTTCAGAGACAATTTCACCAAGCAAAGAATGAGAAATGTTAGGGAAACAAACGTGTAACTCATCCAAGGTCACGTGTCTGTCTTGAACGATTTTGTTCTTCACTTGATTCTTCAAATCATCTGTGATGAGTGATGGACGTCCGGGTCGAGTTTTATCATGCACATTTGTTCATCCATTGTTAAACATTTCACACCACTTTCTCAATTTCTTTTGTTCATTACTGTATCACCATACACTTCCTTTAGTTGATGGTAAATTTCTGCAGGTTTCAACTTTTGAGCATTCAAAAATCAAATAATACCTCTGACCTCACAGTTGGCAAGACCTTGTATCACAGTGTTCATTGTTGACAATCACAGGATGCACAATAACAATTTGTTTCAACTATCACTCACACAACACTCAGAAAAGACATAGAGGAAACTATTTGACCTTGGATAGTAGCCCGAGATCAAACTGCGCAGCTGGAATGCGCAATAGATCTTTACTTTCTGGATGACCTTCATAATTTAAAGTAGATAATGGTTTTCAATGTATAAATGGATTAAAACATAATTATATTTAAGTTAAAAATTTATATACTAACAATCAATAATTTGGCAGAAAAAAGTATTGATAGAGCTGTGTTCTGTTAATAATAAGCAACTGCAAAACAAAAACTTGCTTTGAATGAAAGATTTATTTTAATAAAGCCACTTTTCTCCAAGTATGTTAAGTAATCTTCTTTATCTAAATATTTTGCAAGTTCCGTATGCAGTATGTCTGATCCTTACTTATGGAATTCTGGTATTTTAATATACTGTATATATTGGGTGGGCAAGCAAAAGTTCAGTGGGAGCCAAAATGTAGGTTTTGCAAAATGCATGGGAGCTGCAGTTCTGTACCGCGATTTTATTATATAATATAAAAAAAAAGAATTTTTTTTTAATAAACATATTTTCACAAAATTGTGGAAATAAAATTGTAAAAATAATAATAAAAAGCAGAAATTAACACTTTAAGCAAGAGCAGCATGTAACTTAAAAAGAGCAACATGCAGCTCTTGGAGTTGCATTTGCCCATGTCTGATATATAATTTTAATTGTCTAGAAGTTGCACCTGTGTATTGATTTAGTGAAATTTTGAAGGATGCAAAATGAGTTTAGCGTAAACACTGAAACATTCTAATAAAAACAGATGTTCTCTTCATAACTAATAACCTTTCTAAACTTCGGTAAGAGGCAATTGGTAGAGTATACCTTTTTTTAAACAAACCAACTAGTTTTACAGTTAAATTAACTACAGAAGTGATTGATGATGTACAAAAATTGCCTTTATGTTTAGGGGAAACAGAATATAAGTGGAACCTTATAATGTATGCAATTAAATATACTGTTGTGATACCTAGCTTTAATCAAAACTAACCGTAATAAATTTCCATCTTGTAAAATATTGACTTATTCATTTAAATTTAAGAAAGGAAAGAAAATTTGTTCAGTAAACAGATTTCAGTAGAATAAAATAAACATAAAAAAATTTAATAATATATTTTTGAATTCATTATCATACAGACATAAATAATTTATTAATGTTCTCATTTTTATAGTATAAACTTGAACCAGTTCCACTAATGGGAAGATCAGCAATATTAGGAGATCAGAGAAATAATTATTTCTGTGATGTCTCATGTGGACGAGGTGACATGGCAGATAGCACCTATGCAATTACTAAATCTGGATTGTTATGTGAATTTAATAGTAGACGGTTACTTGACAAATGGGTTGAACTTAGGGTACATTTACATTTTTGATATATAAAATTATTTTTTCATATATATCATAATGTAAAATAATGATTTTAAATTTACAGACTTCTAGTGCCAACTGTATATCTGTAGGAAAAGACTATATTTTTATAGGATGTGCCGAAGGAGTTGTGAGGTGCTTTAATCCTTTTAATCTTCAATTTTTATGTACTCTTCCTCGTCCTCATTATTTAGGAATAGATATTGATAAAGGATTGCATGGAAGGTAACTGTTTTGATATATTTAAGTTATAAAAGTGAATAAAGGATAATCTTTTTGATGAATTAACATTTTAATTTAATTCATAATTTATTTTTAACAGACAATTAAATCCACCCACATCTGGTGCAAGATTTCCCAATGCTATAGCAATTTCTTTGGATGAAAAAAATAAAAAGGTCTACACACTATAAATAATGTATTTTGTAAATTATATGTCATTCTATCTAAATTATTAAATTTTTTTTGTAGGTTACTTGTATATATAATGATCACAGCATGTATATTTGGGATATAAAGGATATGAAAAAAATTGGGAAAATTCAATCATTCCTTTATCACAGTGCATGTATTTGGGGAGTAGAAGTAAGATTTATTATTATTATTATTGATACTGTTTATTGATAATTTTATAAATTATAATAATTCAATTTATTTTTGATATTTTAGACTTATCCAGATGTTTCCTCAACTTCCAAAAACGTTCTTCCCAAAGGAACATTTCTTACATGCTCTAGTGATGATACAATAAGAATATGGAATTTTGAAAATAATTTAAGTCCCGAAACATTTTATCAACGTAATATTTATAGTTTTGTAAGTACAATAAAAATTTCAAATAAAAATGATAAATCCTATATTTTTCACAAAATCACTTGAAAAAATATTTTATATTTTAATTAAATACAGGATTTGCTTAAAATGATATATACAGATTCGGAATTAACATATTTATGTGATACAGATTTCAGTCCTTGTAAGTAAAATTTAAGAATTGTTTGATAAATTTTAAAATAAACTGTAGAATATAGGTAATTAAATTGATATAAATTATATCTGTTTAATTCTGAACTAAATTTTTAAATTAATTAATTAATTTTTATTAAGTGACATCATATAAGTTCATTTGGAAAACATTATTTGAAATTGTAAAACAATCTACATTCTTATATGTAAGAAAGGTAATTTTAATTTAATTTAATGCTTTGTCATAAATCTTCTAGAACAAAAACATTTCTATCATTAGGAAACTAATGATAGCATTTGAGTGCTAAGAATTTGTACAAATCATTAAAATTAAATATTTTAAATATACAGGGAAAAAGTAAGATTTTAACACTGTTTCAAATTTAGATTTTCCTTTTGATGACCTTATTACAATGTATCTTGTGAAAAAACAGATTTGATCTAAATGATAAATATTAGGAATATTAATGATTATAAAATCTCAGTTGTACTTTAAGTTAGAGATAATTCTTAACGAAACTAGCAAATTTTTTGTTAATTGGGCTGCAATTTGAAAAAATTGTAGACCTATAAATTTCCTCTGTCCGTTCATCTGTCCTTCCTTAATCTCAAGAACAGAGTTAGAAAGATGAAAGCCAAGGCAGGATATGGAAAGATTAGGGGCAGGAGACCCCCAATTAACTATATAAGAACTTCCAATGCAAACCAGAAGTCATGTTATTTTAATTCAAAAATTTTTCCCCAAAAGAGTTAGTTAGATGACCGGCACGACTATTGCTAACAGAAAAGTATGATGTGCAGGGGTAAGACACTACTAATTTGAGGTGAAGAGCATATATATTGAAAGAAATTTAAAAGATATGATTAAGAATTGCAGCCCGGTATTGTGACAATGTCACAATAAATAATTGCTTGTTTTATTTTCCATTTTTGTGCAATTACTTAATTTATATATGTAATTTTGTTAATAAATATCTGTAAACAATGTTTTAAATATATGTACTATTAAAATAATTTTAATTATTAAGACATTTTAGTGATTTTTGTTTATATTCATCAATTTATGAATCTTAATAATAGATTTATAAAAATTCATTTTTTAGCTGGAAGCAATGATAAAGTTGATACAACATATGATGGAAAAAATGGTGTGAGATGTTTACGAATAAGTCCGGATGGACAACATTTGGCAGCTGGAGATCGTTCAGGAAATATAAGGTTTGTTGATTAATGGTATCTATCAGAATGTAGATACCATTGTTTCTCAAAATGTACTTTAAGAGCCATTAATAATTAAGAAGTTAATACTTTACAAAACTGGTCATATTTGTTTTATTGAAAATTTATTATTCATTTTGTTTATTGAACATATTCTGAAAATTGTAAGTTGTATACATGTTGTTTTCGAAACTGTGTTTTGTGAATATATTGGACTTCGAACTCACATTTGAGTTATAAATAAACACTTGGCTTTATTTCCATCATTTTAGTTGATTCGGATGGATGTCACCATTTCTATAATTGAAATTTTCTATGTTGTTTTCAAAACCATGTTCTGTGAATATATTTTGCGAATATATTGGACTTCGAACTCACATTTGAGTTCGAAGTCCAATATATTCGCAACATAGAAAGGTTTCGAAAACAACATAGAAAATTTCAATTATAGAAACAGCGACATCCATCCAAATCAACTAAAATGATGGAAATAAAGCCAAGTGTTTATTTATAACTCAAATGTGAGTTTGAAGTCCAGTTGTATACATTTTGCTTATAACTTGTATGATGTAGTCTAATTTTAAAAAATTTCAAGAAAACAATTCAACAAATATGACTAAAGAATAATTGGTATATATTATTTATATATATATACAGATGGTATTACTATTGGTAGTTCTATTGGACCTAATTGGCAGAAATAAAGATGATAGAAATTGATAAAATTGATACTGATCCAAAAAAATACTGTAAGTAATAATCTAAAAAATGCTGTTAGTTTAAATGAAATAACAGTGATAGAAAAGGGTAACGTTGTGTATCAATTTAATTGTAATTGCAATAATAGTTGTGTTTATATTGGAGAAACTAGTATAAAATTAAAAATTAGAATTGCAGAATACATGAGAGCTATAAAATATAATTATTATACTCAGAAGTTGTGAGACACTGTAATGAAGAAGGCTGCTAATTAAGTTAAAGCTGTAAAAATTGGAGGAAAGAAGGCAATATATTTATGAAAGTTATTTAAACATATAGAAATTAAAAAAAGCAAATGATAAAATTAATGATAATTTAGGACATGAGTTAGATAAATCCTTGGATGATTATTTAAATATCACATAAGTGGTAATGATGTAATATATGGCAACAGTTTCATTGAGTTAATTAATATGCATCAATGTCCTTAATTCAAACTAGTTATTCTTTCAATCACCATAACAGTGTATTTCTATTAATAGGACTTATCATACTGGTGTATAAGATTACAGCAACTCAGTCACACAGATTAAAAATTGTTTTATTTACAATTACCTGTTTACATTTTCTCAAATACCAAATCGGAAATTTGATCAAAATACCGAATTGGATTGAAATCGGAAATTTGGTATTTGAGAAAATGTAAACAGGTAATTGTAAATAAAACAATTTTTAATCTGTGTGACTGAGTTGCTGTAATCTTATACACCAGTATGATAAGTCCTATTAATAGAAATACACTGTTATGGTGATTGAAAGAATAACTAGTTTCATTGTGTGCTTATAGAAGCTGGGAAAAATTTAACATGTTCTGATTGTAATATCTATAATAGTAGTTTAAATTGTAATTTATATTCAATAAAAGATGGTATCTGTAAGTATAATTCTACTAATTTCTTATGAATGAAAGTTAATTGATGTAAAATTTAATTTAATGTAAATACTCAAATAACTGGTTAAATATTCAAAAATAACACTCATCACTATCAAAATCCAGCAAACTTTAGAAATTTTACTGTAAACTAATGTTTTCATCCATATATAATGGGCATCCTCATTTAACTTTAATTTAATTTTACTGGTCTGTATTATGTAATTAAACTTGAGGATGTCCATTATATACAGATGAAAATGTTAGTTTACATTAAAATTTCTACATTTTGCTGGAGTCTGTTGTTGATGAGTGTTATTTTAAATGTAAATGCTAATAAGTATCATGCAGTTGGAATGTTTTGCAGCCCACAAAAAATAAATTATTTGGACAAGGAGCTGTTTGTGTTTAAGGCTATGTGCTCACCAAGTTTTATTTGAACTGGAGACCCGAATGTCTGGCCCTCTGCTTGTTAGCAATAGGGATCATTTTTGAATAACTTTTTAATGAATAATTCCAAAAACACATTTGATCACAATATTTAAACAGTATTCACAAGTTCTGTATGTCAAAAGTTTTGTTTTAGTGTACTAAAAAAAGTCACCCGAAAAAATTCCCCAGATTTTCTGTCTGTCAATAAAAAAATTCTCAGTCTAGAAACACCAGGTGGCATTGCACAAAACTGCCTTCAGTTCTCAATGTCACTTCCTACTTTTCTGCCTGAACTTGTTGCACGACATCGCTAGGTGTATTGTGCATGGGACTAACATTGCACGGGAGCTAGACTTTCTGCTGTTTTTCTGAAGTGTGATTCAATTTCATGCTGAATGTTGAAACAAGCAGACTGGTGTTTTTATCACTAATTGCTATCACCAGTATTATATTTTTATCAACACTTAATAAAAATATCACCATGTGACAATTTTGGCACTATGCAGTGCGATTCCTGGTATAGTATACATTAAAAAATATGTAGAAGAGACTGAAATGTCTTCATTTTTTTTTTAAGTTGAATC